GTCAGGTATCAAGATCGCGACCAAGATGATGTACTCGCCACGTCAGGTATCAAGATCGCGACCAAGATGATGTACTCGCCACGTCAGGTATCAAGGTCGCAATATGTCACGTCTTCGATCGCGATTGCGATCAATCGCGATCCCAGCTGGTACTTCGTCAGGCCTTCGTCATCAGGCTTCGTCGTCAATCAGGTAAGTATCCCATATCCTTCCACTTCCCTTGTGTCTTCTCGCACGTGCACGGTCGCGACAAGGTCGCGATCAGGATAAATGCTCCGATACCAATCTGCAATGAACCCAAGTCGTGAATACAATGTCGACACTGAAAGCCAAGATTATCGAACCAATGATAGATCTTCAACGACAATAGTATCCAGTAAAGTGGGGGGTGCGATAATCATACACGGACGAAGAGAGGTGGGGGAGATTAGACAAGGGAGAGGGATAAGGCCCACTCCTTCTCCGGGCTCCTCCTACGACAGCAACCCCACATCAGCAATGATCTGAATACAAATTAGAGACTCAGCCTCCGGGTGCCRCGTGGCACCGATCAATACATCAATTAGCGCTGGAGCCTCGTCGACATGAAGACATCAGGTACGTATTCACAACACCGCACAAGTCCTGATCTCATCCCGAATAGTCACGACCCCTCCTTGAAGTAACGAAGCCGATGATCAATAGCCGGTCGTAAGGACCCGACAGTACGACACGTGGCAGCGCCACATCAGCAGCAATACGTGGCGACTGCCACGTCAGCAGATCAGAGACAGTCGCCAGCCAGATAGCAAGCCAGCCAGCGGTAACTCACCATGTCARCAAATGCCGGCCTTCCTCCAGTCTCACAGCGTCAAACCAAGGCTGCAAGAGTCAGGCGCTGAAAACAGCGTCAACGCAAGACAGCCAGAATCCCCTAAAGCCAAGGAGTCAATGCTTTTATAGTGTTGACTCGGGGTCTGATCCCCGGTAGTATCCAACCTCAGCCGTCCAGATTTCCCTGCCTGGAGGGTCTGGATAGATCTGCAACTGTATCCTCTTTGGCCTGGGTCGTAGTCTGGGTACCTGCACTCAACAAGTGAATGAATCTGATCCAAGACCTGGCATGGTACTTTGACTGACAGTTGACTTCGACCTTTGATTTTCCTAAGTCTTGGCGTTCGGTCCCACAGCCGTACGCAGTTTACTCAGGCCGGGGCATGTGTTGGTCACACAGCCCGGCGCAGTCTTCCACAGACTGCGTGGCCTGGGGCTAAGGTTTGGGCCCCAGGTCGACTGCTGAACAGGGTTATTACAATATACATTCCTTGATCATATTTCCCCCGATAATGTGGGTCCGATAATTTACATACAGTAATATATCGATCACAGGTAATCAGAGTGTACCTCTGGGATTTGGGCGACAGGGGAGGAAGGCGGGAGGAGAGGAGGGGGACATGAACGGCAACGGCTTTTTGGTTCTTTCGTTTTTTCTTCTCGCTAATAATAACAGCAATTATTAAATCGTGGGCTTTAAAACATGCATCCATCATCGATTACAATCGATCTTCCATCAACGATTGGGAAAAAAAAGAAAAAACGTCATTCAGTGAATCAATCAATCTATCCATCATCATCAATCATGCGCAGCTATGGTACAAGCAACCTCCTCCCTTCCCCCTCCCCCCTCCCCCCTCCCCCTTCCCGGCGGAAAAACAGGCATCATCAAACATATTCCTCTCCGCATGAATCGATCAATCAAGTGGCTGCAAAGCGATCAATCGAGCATCTAGCGTGTAATCAGTCAAATGATCCACATTAGTGGATCAACCGATGATTAACTATTCCCCCCCCTCCTCCTCTCCTCCTCCTCCTCCTCCTCCTCCTCAGCCACCTTCCTTCCCAACCACCTTCAGTAGCTCGATATCGAACAACAGCGTTTTGTCGATGAGCCCTTTGTTGTTCAGCACGAAGGAGAGTGCCCTTTTCCCGGAGAATGTGGTTGGCTGCGGTCCTGCCTTCCTGAAATCGTTGTCGGGATAACCAAGTCCCGGCGGCACGATGATCCGTCGCACTCCTCCCACTTTCATGGTCGCGATCGCCTCCTCAAATGCCGGGATCACTTTGTCTTTCCCTAGCCGGAATCTATAGAAATCCTTCTCGTTCCCTTCAAACGACCCGCCTTTGGCTTTGTTCCGCGCCTCAAAGATCCGCCCGTAGTACCCGATGGTAAAGCCATCCCAATCAATCACGACCAGCTGGCCTGGGCTCGGAGACGGTCCCGATCCCGGCCGAATGTCCTGGTACTGCAATCCCGAGCCCGTCATTGTATAGTCCTTATATCTCATGCTCGTTTTCCCATAGTCTTTCCCCTTCAGCGCTTCCATTTCCACAAACGCGGGAGGAGGACTCGAACCTGCGTCGCCGGCATTTGGCGGGGCACTATTTTTGGTGTCGTCAACAGGTGCTGCGAACGCAGTGTCGGTCGGCGACCGGGAGATCGACGACGCATCCGCTGAATGATCAGCAGCGGATAGGAACCGCCGCCAATCTGTAGGCACTCCCGCCATAACGGCCGTTAACAGAAGCGCGCCTCCGGTCGCCCGTCTCCCGCCACGTATTTCCCGCCATTTTCGATCTACGGTTAATTCGCTCCCGCTGGAGGACGACGCGGACGTGGCATTCTTATCGTCATTATCTACAAGGAGATCTTCGTCAGAACCACGAGTGTACCCTTCCCCCTCCCTCTTCTGTTTGAGGGAGCCCGCAGCACGGTTCTGCCCACCACCAGAACCGCCGCACCCATCTCCTGCCTCAGACCCCGACCGCCACGTGCGCAGCCGCGGCCGCCGCGAGCGCCAAGCGGGAGAATTCCCGCCATCTCCGCGCGTATGTCGGAGCAGCAGCACGCCCGTCGGGCGAGTTGGCCGAGCCACGTTTTGACTGCTGCTGTTGCTGCCCCTGCCGCTCGCGTTTGCCGCCGAAGCGGCTGCTGAGGTGACGGCTGTGGCGTTGACGTCCCAACTGCGCAAGTGGCGGGAATGGTGATACCTGTGGCCGGGGCGACTACTCCGCCATCTCCGCCCACTCACCCCCTCGTCAGCGAAGGCGGTGAGGGCGCCACTTACAGTATTTCCATCTGCGCGCCGAAGGGCATGGAGCCCTGCGTGGGAGGGCTCCTCGGCAAGCGCAAGAGCAGAGAGCTGCACTGGGGCTGCGCGCCGCGCCACGTCCATAGTTTCGCGCAACGTGTTCCGATGATTGATTCTTCACACGTGGCACGCCGTGCGCAAAGGCACTCCGCCGCTCCACTCGCGCCCCGGCAACGCGCTAGAATGCGTCCACATTTGTGTGGCGGTAGTCTATTGCGGGGCCGCGCACGTGGGGAGGTTGCATTTAAAAAAAGAAAAAAAAGAAAAGGGCGATGGCCTTGAGGTATTATCATTGGACTAACCAGCCCAAGTAGTTCAATCTTGTGCCTGATCTGAACCGGGTGGCCTTATTGGCTTCAGGGAACCCCCAGTGGGGAACACCGGCCAGGGGACAGCGGGTAGCACAGGGAACGAGCATCATCTGAGTGGCCAGTCGCTGTTCGCAGCCTGTCAGCGTTACGTTTTATGCTCTTGAGACCTTCAACGTCAATTCAACTTTCAACGTTGGTGTTCCCAGCCCGTCAGGGTTGCGTTTTATGCCCTTGAGACCACCTACGTCAATTGAACTTTCAATGTTGGTGGTCCGTTTGGGAGGGTGGGCAATTTTGAGGTGAGGGCTTAGCAAGGGGTGAGGCATGCGAAGGACTGGTAGCTGCCCGGAGGAGGCCAAGGAGGCCACGGTCCTTGAGTTTTGAACATTTGGAAATTGAAACGGAGTGGGTCCACTTTTCTAGAATAGCAGAGCACTTCGAATAGAACATGTACAAGTTGTATTCGAATTGTCTACCGCGTGGGCGCGGGGAACGCAGCCCTAAGGTAGCCAAATCAATGAGACTAAGAGCTTGCACGAGAGAGAGAGAGAGAGAGAGAGAGAGAGAGAGAGAGAGAGAGAGAGAGAGAGAGAGAGAGAGAGAGA